TTTAAAAGCATCCTTCCCAGGAATGTGCCTCCTTTCCATTAAGATGCCTTGCATTGCTTGGTGAATCAGAGCAAAGCAATGAGGAGCATCTCTCTCAATCTCTTATGTGCCTCTACACAGTATATCTTCTATCAAAAGAAGGGGTGATGTCAGAGTGTGACCTGAACATACTTCCCAGAAAGATTGAATTTTCCTTTGATGAGAATGATTGTGTGGGAAAAGTGCCCCTTGGGTTGGCGAACGAGGGGGGGGGGCGCATATCCGCTCTAAAATGGACACAAAAGATTCACTTGACTTTTGGTAACAAAAGATTTGGTTGGGATGTTGGGTACCTTTATACGAAAAGATGTACAGTGGAACGTGGATAATTCGAACTTCTTTAATTCGAAATCTTCTTTAATTCGAATATTTTCCCTGGTCCCTAGAATCTTGTATTAAAACAATGTTAAAAAATTATGGTTAATTCAAATTATATATTGGATAGTTCGAAATTTTTCCAAGACAACCCTAAATCACCGCAGCCCAAGGCAACCCCCCCCAGCACCAGGAGGAGGAGGAAGGAGAGGCCGCGGCGGAGTCCCAAAAACGTATGTGTACTGTATTTAAATTTTACAATACAGTATCCTGTTTTTTGGATAATTCGAATTTTTTTACTGGTCCCTTGAGGTTCGAATTATCCAAGTTCCACTGTATAAGAGAAATGATTTCGCCCCTCTACGGCTGTTTGAGATTTTGCTTTGGAAGAGGCATGCACACACAACCATACCAGGATGAGGCTATGAAAGTGGCTTTGTTTGAATGAATGAGGCAAGCCCCCAATGCAACTTTTTCTCCCCTTTCTTTTTAAATCACTGCTTGGCAAGTGGTGTGCCAGGGATCAGTGAATGGGAGGCAGAGAGACTGGCACAGATGCTGGGAACAGAGAGGCAGCAGGCAGGATAGCATGTGCCAAGTGAGTAGGAGTGGTTATTTCTCTATCTCTGTATATATATATCTATATATACAGAAGACATGGAAGTAATTCCTCAGCTGGTGCCTCTTAGTTCTCAATGGGACAGTATTTTGGTAATCTTGGCTGACATCATGTACATCAGGGACCGGCAACCTATGGCCTGGGGGCCGGTTAAGGCCCCGGCCCCCGGACTTACCAGCCCAGGCTGAAGGTTGCCGCTGCGCTGCGTTTTTGCCGCTCTGCGGCTGCGTTCACCGCACTCACCGTTTTGATTTCCAAAATGGCGGCTGCGACATGCGCCGCGGCGGCTGCATGCGCGGGGGGTCGCGCGTGGTGGCGGAGGGTGCGCGCCGCCATCCCCTCCCCCTTGGCCCAGCTGAGACCTGGGCTACGGGAGACCGGCCCACGTCTCAGAAAGGTTGCCTGCCTCTGGTTTAAAATATCCAAGACCAAAGCTAGAAAACTACTGTTTTAGTGGATAAGCTCTATCAAGTCATACGTTCTTCTTTTCTGAGTTGGCAATTAAGGTGGCCACTAGTTAGAACATTTGGCTTAAGGACTTCCTGCTCCTGACCTCTGTCTAGAGCAAACGTCCCAGATGAAAAGGATATCAAAGGACACTTATATCAAGATGCCCAACTTCTGTGCCAACTGGCACTGTGACCAGCCACCTCTTCAAAGACAAGGAAACTAACCTTAACCCTCATTCCTATACTGAAGGCATCTGTACAATCTAACCGAATTGTTATCAGCTGTGGGTTTTATTCATTAATGATTAATGATGAAACATATGGAATTTGGAAGTAGCAACACCCAAAGATTCTTGCAAGATTGTATGTCAGCAGAAACAATCTTTGGCCTAGAGAGGTTAAAAAAATAATAAGAACTGATTACATCACTTTTATCAAGGAGTAAGGATTGAGTGCCAAGTGCAACTATTGGAATTTTTCATATGCAACAAAATATCTTTGTTCTAGAAATCAATTTATCTGTCCCCAGAACTAAAAAAAATGCAGATTGGCTGATGGCAATTTTTAAAATCTGCAGATATCAGATGCTGGGAACTCACTCAAAAAGCTGGGGGAGGACCCAATAACTGTAACTCTGAAGCAGCACCCTCTAACCTGTTAAATCCCTGAGCCATTTAGCAGAATCCTATACCTGTCTATTTAAAAGTATGCACCATTCAGCTCTATAAGATATACTGTACTCTCAGGAAAGTGTGTATGGACTGCATGCTATGTGTGTAATCCTATACACACTCACTCAGAAATAATGCTACCTGAGTTGGCTTATCTCACGGTCAACATACACAGAATCAGACTTTAAATGGAACCTTCCTAACATTGTTCCCAACCCAGAAATGCTTTCCCTTCTCTCATTTGACAAGCCTACATAATTTGTCCCCCTCCGTGTTGTGAGCATAAAACAGAACCCAACAGAGTTGGAAATAGCAGGTTAGAAGCTCTGTCACCTAAAAAATTATCACTGGCAATTTCACTCAGCCTCAATTCCATAAAATTACCCAAGAAAAGAGAAAGAGCTCCACTCTATGCATTGCTGAAACCTTATTACTAGTACTGCCACTGCCAGCCTCACTATCTGGTGGGAACATGACACAAAAGGAAGAAATGGGGAGGGAAGAGGAAAGAAACTGTTTGAGCAACAGTTCCTTCCCTGGGGCTAGAGTTCTCTGGCGATGACATTCCTCCTGTGACGCAAAGAGTGTGGCGTCCCCGTGGGACCATAGCCTACATATGATGAACAGATATAAAAAGCAGATACCGACTTACCTAGGAATAAACTCCAGGTTGAACTTGACTTAGGCACATATAGGATTGCACTTGTCAGGTCAATAAATGATATTGTTTGGTCAATTTATACAACTGGCACTGAAATCCAAGTAGGGAAAAATGGTTATCTGACAATTCCATATTCACGGGTGATCTCATGCAGCCATGACTTACTCACTAAAATAACCCCAAAATCAATGAGAACTGACCTGTACCATTTATAATAATAATAATTTTTATTTGTAGCCCGCCCCTCTGCACAACAATCGAGGCGGGTTTAGTAGTTCATCTCCACGTTACAAAGCAATTTCGCTATTCTTAAATCCTAACTAAATTATTCTCTCTGTGATATGTTTGTGTGTGTGCCCTTAAGTCACCTGTTGACTTACGGCAACAATAGGGTTTTCTTAGGCAAGGAACATTTAGAGGTCATTTTGCCAGTTCCTTCCTCTGAAATATAGTCTACAGCATCAAACATTGGTTGGCAGCCCCCCATCCAAGTACTTATCAGGGCTGACCCTTCTTAGCTTCCATGACCAGAGGGGATTTGTGCTTTTAGGCACAGGTTTTAAAATGTACTCTAAACCTGCCTACATATCTGCTCCATGATTCTATGAGCTCTTTCCAATCTCTATCTATACCAGCTTTCTAGGTCAAGATAACACAACACCTCCACATTGGACATCTAGATATTCCACACATGTATTCTGCAGGAAACTGAAAATGGGCAGGTGCTGACAGCTTTGCCTCCATCACCACTGCCTGGAAAGAAAGACAAAAAGAAGCACAGTGGTGAAAGAAAGGGACTAGTCCAACCATGAAGACAAACAATACAATCCTCTACACCAGGGGTAGGCAACCTTTTTGAGCTGGGGGCTGGGTTGCTGTCCCTCAGACAATTGGGGGGCCGAAGCACCAAAAATAAATAAATAAATGAATGAATAAATAATTAAAAAAAAACATGCATGCACACGCTCTCAGCCCCAGAAAAGCCATGGCAAAACCCCTGTGGAGATTTTGCCAAGAAAACCCTAAGAACAAGTAATAACAACAATAATCAATATCATCATGGCGGGTAGGGGTGACGGCGGCGGCAGGACCGGCCTGGGGCCAGTCCGTAGGCCTCGGTGGGCCGCATCCGGCCCCCGGGCCTTAGGTTGCCTACCCCTGTTTTAAACTTCAACTCCTAGAAGCCATTTAGGTTTACAACAGGTATGGGAAACCTGTGGCAATCCAAATGTTTTGGATTGCTGTTCCTACATTTCTTTATTATTACCCATGCCAGCTGGAGCTGTTGGGAATTTTAAGCTAAAACATCTGTGAAAGGCCAAAGAGTCCTCCCTTTAGTTTATATTTCCAGCACAATTATAGCCATGTCTGTACAGATGTAAGTTCTCCTAAATACAGTGGGATTTGCTCCAAGGCAATATTCTAAGTGAGAAACACCATGATGTGGTGTTTTGAGTGTTGGACTACGACTGGAGATTACTAGTT